ACCAACCGACCTTGTTATCATCGATGAGCCAGTTCTTGAGGAAGCTGCATGCCGAAAAAAAAAAGGGGGGGCCCAACTCCGCGGACGGGCGAGTCTTTTGCAATTTGTGTTGTCTTGCCCAGGGGAGAGACAATGCGCATACATGCATTTGTGCGGCCTAGGGCCACATGATATGCATTGTCTGTTCACCAACCGACCTTGTTATCATCGATGAGCCAGTTCTTGAGGAAGCTGCATGCCGACACACACACACACACACACACCACTCCGCGGACGGGCGAGTCTTTTGCAATTTGTGTTGTCTTGCATGACATGAGCATACCAGTGCGGCCCTCTGTGTGTGAAGTAGCGGCACTCGACGGTCTCGCGACACTTCTGTCGGCACTCCTCAACCGTCAGATTGCTGTCCCTCCAATCGTGAGATATCACACTCCTACACACACACACACACACACGGGCAGCCAGCGCCCAGTGAGATGAGAGGTGGCAGTGCTCGCCACACCCTCCATCTCACCCACACAGCGTACCAGAGATGGTCGAGATTATATTGGTCGCAAGGCCGTCTCTCGTCGAGCGGGCGGCAGTCCCTCGCACCCTTCTTCCCATGCGCAATGAGGTCGGCGCCCCGCTCATCCACCTCGCCAGTCTGCACAACCGCCGTTACGTTGGTGAAGAGGAAGCACTCGGCTTTCCTGCCCTCACACCAACAACAACGAACACACAGATTAACACTCACACACACACACGTGTTCCGTTCAATGCATTGATGAATGACATCCTGCGCGCTTCAGTGCACAACCAAGGTGGATGTGATGTGCACTGTCCACAAACCCCCACACACACCAGTCGAAGCTCCAAGCCCTGCAGTCGTCCCTCTCGTCGCATTTCCGGGCGCAGCCGTCTGTGATCCACACCCGCCGCTTGCTCTGCGGTTTGCCGTCCAGGTATGAGCCTCTTAAAGTGGACTGCCACCTCTGCAGTGCACACACAGACAGAACAGACAGGCACATCAATCACATCACATCACAGTGCACAGGTACAGACAGGTGTGTCATTTCATTTGTGCCTGTGATGGTTGGCTGACTCACCCAGCATTCACTGTCGAGTTGGTGGAGGGTAGTGGCCTGCTCCACAAAGCCACCGCTGGGAGGCTGAGCAGCATCAACAACACGCCTCACAAGCAAAATGGTGATGCAGCCGAGGAGCCGCTGCAGGCGAGGGAGATGCCGTCTGCTTGATCCGATTGATCTGCCGCAGTTGATGAGAGAGCTGCTGGGCAGGCAAACGCTCAGCATCTGCAGTGGCGTCCACGGTGTATGTTTGAGAAGCACAGAGCGGTCATAGAGCCGGCATAGATCTTGCCAGGTGCCAGCCGTGGGGTTTAGGGTTCCACGGATATGGGCCAGTTTGCGACGTAGGGTTGAGCTCGCAGAGGAAAGGAGCAAGCGGGGGAAAGAGCCAGCATCCGACGTCCCTCTATCGGTAACACATTTGCTCAGAGTGATCTATGTGTGAGCAAGAACCAACCCTTGAACCGACCGACTCACCACCACCACTGCGGAGACCCAGTTTGCCATGATGGAGCCGCCGCGCCAAATGGCGTCCCGCGACAGCACATCACGCTTCACCCTCCCCACCACAGACCCACTGTCCAAGGATGCTCTTCACCGCCGCCACGGCGCACCGGCGAGTGCCACGTCAGGTGGCAAGGGAGCCGCTGACGATGGCACAGGTGGTGCGGGCAGGGGAGAGGCGCTGATTAAGGGCGGCAAGGGAGCCAAGGAGGAGAGTGGGGCGGAATCTGACAACTCGCATGTAAGTCAAGTCCTTCACCGAGTCAGACTGACAACAAACAGACACCGGCGTGATGGATGTGGTCGTGTGTGTGTGCGTGTGTGTGTATGTGCGTGTGTGTGGCCTGTCAGGTCTGCGACTTCTCGTCGGAGAGCTGTCCCCAACCAGATCGGAAATTCTGTAAGTTCTCTGTTGCCACACATACGGCGCCCTCGCCATGGCATGGATCATCCATCGGCCGTGTCTCTCTCGTCTTGTGCTGGTGTGTCTCTCTCCTAGGCTACCGTGATCTTGTGTTTCTGGCCGCGTATACGTTGGGATACGTTCTGTTGGTGGGCTTGGCCTCTGTGAGAGTGACGCGAGGCACAAGCACCACAAGTGCCGCGACGTCGACTCTCCCGGCTGTGCTGCGGGATGGGGTGACGATGTTTGACGTCAAAGTGTTTGGGGTGGCGTCACTCATGCTCGCCATCCTGCTGGCTACCGAGGTGCGCACCGCTCGGACACAGTACAACCACATGTTGCCATGGCAGACCGTCGCATACATACCGAATGTGTGGGTGTGGGTGTGGTGTGTGGTGTGTGCAGTTCTTCCCGTTGTTCTTTAGTGGCATTACGGTTCGCCGTCACCCGAAGGACCCGAAGCTGCGGTATCTGCGTGAGCTCAGCAGCGTGGGGTTTGTGCTGAAGCTCATCATGACCATCTCATACATACTCATGACCGTGCAAAGTGAGAGAGACCACACTCAGAGAGACCGACACTCCTGCCCTCCACTCACCTGTGTCCCTTGTGTGTGGTGTGGCGTTCTATCCATCTCTGTCTGTATCAGCGTACAACCACTTCCACTGGATGAGCCAGCCCTTCCCGAAGCCCAGCGCATCGGCCCCGCCCACTCCCGTGGCAGACAAGGCCACATCGCTCATCATCCCCTCATCGGATTACTTCCACGTCAAGCGCAATGCCACTGGTGCACGCATGGCCAACGCCACGAGTGCCGCCGGTGGGGTGGTGGGGGGACTGGCGGTGGACTTCCGGATGGACATGCGGGGCAATGTCGACAGCACTGGTGAGTGAGGGATGCGATAGTGTCGGCAGATGGATGGATGGATGGATCGATGAATGATGGGACGGTCACGGCTCTTCCTGTGTCTGTATGTGTCACCGGTGCTCAGGCCGTTTGTCGTACGTCCTTCGTGGGATGCGCTGGGCGGTCGAGGGGCTTGTGCTGACATACTTCCATGGTAGGGGTGTAACCCACCACACACACACACACACACGGACATCTCTCGCCCCCGACCCACCACCACGACCGTCCTGCTGCCTCTTCTCCTGCATGCCTGCCTGCAGGCACATTTTCGTTCGACTCAAGCCCAAAGCGCCGCACAGCCGTCCCCTCCTCCCTCCTCTCCCTGCGCCTGGCCCTGAGCTTCTCCCTCCCTCTGGCCATCCACTACGGCACCCGGCTGCCATTCGCCGCATGGGGGGTGTCCTGGCAGCTCGGCGCGCTCGTGTTCGCCCTCATGTATGGTGCGCTGTACCTGATCCTGGCTCTCAAGACGCGGGAAAGACGGGAAAAGGCGGCAGGGAGAGAGGAGGGCGACACAGTGGACCAGCTGTGCAACCGAGTGCTCGTGTGGACGCCCACAGCCAGCCTCACTCTGCAGACGGTCGTTGCGACCGTGTGCCGCCTGCCGCTGGTGCTGCCCATCTCCCCCCTCGTATCCATCCACTCGGAGCAGCTCATGTGCACGGCTATCGACGTGGGCGGCCGGCTGCTCGAATCGGTGTGTCTGCACATCCTCCGCACCAACCAGACAGACACCCTCTACGACGAGATTGCCTCCAATGCGATGGCTATCGCCCGCTCCCGGTCGTCGGTGGGCGGCAGCAGCCACGGGCACCGCAACCGCAACCGCGCGTCGTCCCTCTCGTCCATGCGGACCAACACGGCCTCGGTGAGTGCGTCTAGCGTCGCGCGCCACCGCAAGTACTCGACCCCCACCCCTCCCTCCTTCATCCCCTCACGCACCGCCCCCGCACCACCAGCCATCGAGACGGCGGTACCGCTCGCGGCTCCCCTCCCGGCACTTCGCCGACCTGCTGCTGCGACCAGGGACAGCATGAAGGAGGAGGGCCGTGAAACGCCGATGGGCGGGGTGGGGCTGCTGCTCGACTCGGACAAGGAGAGCGATAGGTCGGGTGGGGTGGACAACCAGCAGCAGCAGCAGCCGCCGCCGCCGGCGGCACAGCAGCAGCTGGAGAGTAGCAATGGGTTGGTGCAGATCGGCCAGGCGTTGGCCGATCCCGGCGACCTGCGGACATTTGACTTCTCTGCCGCCAAGAACACGTGGAGCGACGAGAAGTTCCAGACCGCCCAGGCGCAGCTGCAGGAGCTGTGGATACAGAAGGAGAAACTCGAGGAACGGGTGAGTGCGTCAGGGAGGGAGGGAGTGACACACAGTGGTCAACACAGATAAATACATCCATGGATTGGATAAATGTGTCTTTGTTGCCTCTGTGCCGTGCCTGCATCATGTCGCGTTGCAGGCTCAGCGTCTGGCTGCTCGCCGGGAGGAGCTGGCTGCTGAGGCCGAGGAGCAGCATCTGGCGGCCGCTCTGGCAGCATCCGCCGCGCAGCAGTCCAGCCCCCGTGCATACACTTCGCCCCCGATCAGATACCCTCCCCCCATCCCCGAGGACGCCCCACACGTGGTGGTCGAGGGCGATGCCTTCCAGCTCGACTCGTCGTCGGCCAGCAGCTCCAGTGGCACATCGCGCCTGCACCCCCACAATACGGTCAGCGTGCTGCGCCGCGAGCGGGAGGTCGAGACCACCCGCGTGATGCCCTTTCCATCTCGCCCACAGCCGCGGTCGACCCACCGGCAGCGGCTGGCGTGGCAGGCGCGCTACGGGCACTTCAGCAAGAAGGGGCCGATGCCGTCGATGCAGGGGGTGGGCGGGGTGCCGGTGTGGATGATGCAGAGCGGGGTGGACCGCTGGCGCAGACCGCCCGGCAAAGATAGAGACCCCGTCGCCAACTTCGTCCAGAAACGTCAGTCGGGGAGGGAGGGAGGGAACGATGAGCTCTCTGCATCATGTGTATGTGTGTGTGTGTGTGTGGTCTTGTGCAGGTTTGATACAGTTGCAGTCGGTGCGTCTGCTGATGGTGTCGGCCGAGATCGTCGGTGCCCTTCCCAAGGCCCCCACAGCTCAGGAGCAGCAGCAGGAGGTGCGCAAGCAGATGTGCGACTTCCACGTCTGCCAGCAGAAGCTCCAGAGCTTCCTCGCCGGCCGCAAACGCCGCCCCAGATTCATCATGACCTCGTACTCGGTGCATCCGCCCACGGACCACTACAGTGTCACGGCGCACCACGAGCGAGACGTCGATAGCGACAGCAACGTCACGGAGATCAACGTCGTGGCGGGGGCGGGCCGGGAGGAGACCATCATGGCCTGCATGGTGCCGATGGTGGTGCCTCAGGGGGCCGCTGAGGGGTCTGGGTGCCTGGTGGACAAGAAGCGCAAGGGCGGGCGGGGCAAGAGCAAGCGCAAGACCTTGATGAGTGCGGCTGCTACTGCCGACTCGTCGTCCTACACGCCGTCGCCTGCATTCTTCACGACGGCCGGCCAGGACACCCACGAGACGAGCTCCCCGATCCCCACCGACCACGAGACGTGCGAGCAGGATCACCATGACGGCCGCCACATGCACCACACGCACGTGCACATACCGCACCACACCCACCTACACCACGGCCACCACCACCACAGCACCGAGGGCAACCAGGACGACCGCGCCGCCGCCACCAACCAGGGCACCGGCAGCAGCGATGACAACGATAGCGGGGAGGGAGGGTCGAGCGGGTCTGGCTGTGGATCTAGTGGCAGCCAGACCCACACTAACACCTCCAGCGACTCGGCCAAGATGGGCGTCACATCAGGTACGTCAGTTAGAGACAATCGAGACAGACAGCATCGACCAGAAAGAGGGGAATTCATGGCTTCACGTGTGTGTCATATATATGGTTGTGTGTGCAGGCCGTGAGGGCGGTTGTGAGTCCAACGATAGCGATAGCCAGCGGGATGAGCGCCAGGAGGGCAAGGGAGGGGGCGAGTGACCGATCCCTCCTTCCTTCCGCTAGCTACCTGCCTGACACATCTCGCTGGCTCGCTGCTTTGTGTGTTTTTCCTTCTCGAGCACTTTTGCTTTTGCCCTTCTGACTGCGTGCGCATGAATGCGTTTTCTCTCCATGACGGCGCTGTGTCTTGCCTGACCTGTCGGCAAGACACAGCGCCTTTTTTAACCCAAGCCCTTTGATGGGCCGGCGGGCTTGCCCACAGGGGGCAAGCCCAGACAGACAGACAGACAGACAGACAGGAAGGGTTAGGTGAGGCAGCTGGCTGGCTGGCTGGCTTTGCCCCTTCCTGATCGATGCGCTTTAAAGGTGTGTCTACCCCTCCCTCTTATGTATGTGTCAATCAACGGGGGCCACGCTACCTGGGGATGCGATGCACGCGACAGCTCCTGGGGTCGTGGGTGGATGGATGGATGGACTGTCTGGCTGCTGGGGGATGGATGATCTCTGACCGACTGTAAATTAAGGTGCTGTCTCGTCTTGTTCGCCACTGAAATGCTTGTGTGTCCAAGCGATTCAGTGGTCTGACTCACTCGGACGTGTGTGTATGTCATGTCTCACCCTAAGCTCCCGAACGAGTACGCTGCAAACCGTTCGGGGGTGGCAGGCAGAGACACGGCAGACAGACATGCGCCAGCAACACAACAGCAACCAAGACAGACGCATTATCCGGGTACTGACTTGCCATGTCGCTCGCCTCGCCTATTTTTAGTCCGCTGCGCGTGCGTCTGCCGGGGGCCCCAGACATGTCTGTCTTGCTGGGTGGGTGGATGGATGGATGGAGCATGTCGTCATGAATGAGTTTTTCCCCGTAAGTTGTGCGTTGCGCGGCTGGTTGGTCGGATGGCAGAGTCTATATGATATACCCAGTCAGTATGCACGAGTGCGGACGGGGAACTAACCTGCGTCCCTGCAGGTCTCTTTGCCTGCCTGCCTGTCTATCGTGTCGGTCGTGGCATGAAGATGGACGTTGCATGATGTCGTGTGGTGTGCTGTGTTGAACGTTTGAGTGAGAGTGAGAGTGAGAGTGTGTGTGTGTGTGTGTCGGTCTCTTTGTCACACAGCCACTCCCGGGGGCCGTGCTGGTTATGTGTTTGCTGGCGGGGTGGACCTGGTTTACCTGCAGTCAGTCGGTCAGTCAGTCAATCAGTTATGGGGTATCGTACACGATATGACATGACGTGACCGACGTGTGCAGCCAGCCAGCCCTCCCACGCCAGCGAAGCAACCAGCGCGGGACGTTTTTCATTCGTGATGATTGTGAGTCCTCTGTGGAGCGGCCATCTGCCTAGTGCTTACGAGTGGGTGAGGTGTTGCGTGTGTGTTTGTGCGTGTGTGTAGGGGGTGGGGTCAGGTGAGCTGATGCGGATGGATGGACGGATTGCTCGTGCCTGGGCAAGTTTCTCGTCTGACAGACACTACTAGCGAGGTCTGTGCATCCATTCAGTGAAAGGAACGTCTGTGGAGAATCACAATTCGATCTGCAGCCGAGCGTTGTATTTACCTTTGGCTGGCTGTTTTCCAAGTCCGCGCGCAAAAAGATGGAGGTTACACGTGAGGTGACTCCCGCCGTCGGTTTCCAGGACCGCTTCCCGTTGACGATGGCCGAGCAGCCGGCCAACCTGCTTGCCCTCATCGCCGCCAGCCCCCTCCCCGCTCTCAATCATCTCTCTCGAGGAACTGCAACAGCTCATGAACCAACACAAATCCAACGCCAGCCTCCAGCAACACCTCATCCACGTCCTTCACAAAGTCATCGACACGGTCCCTGCACTCTCCACGGCCCAGACGAAGGCAATCTCCTCGTTCATTGGCTGTTGTTTGAAGACGATGGCCAAACAGGACAACGGTGCGGCGGATTTGGTGCCTCTGTGCGATCTGCTCAAGAAGCTGACAAACGACAATGCCGCCCAGTTCTGCGAGTTCATCAATGGTGGGCACAGATGGGCCATGGTCTGGTCTGGTCCCTGCATTTATTGATTGATTGATGTCTGTGGTTGTGGATCGATGGGTCGCTGTGTTGTGCTGCAGAGACGCTACAGGCCGCTCTCGACCGCCGCGCTCTCAAGTTCGCCATCGGGGTGGTGCGCTATCTGCTGCGTAAGCTCACCATGCACACAACCATCCGTCCATCCATTCTCTCTCTGTGTGTGTGTGTGTGTGTGTGGACGATGGGTCAGTTCACCTGCCCTACGCAGCGCTGCTAGGCGACCTGCTCGACGAGAGTGACGACGACAACCTACTGCTGCCAGTGCTCCGTGCGTCCCTCAAGCACCGTGACCTGTCCACCCTCACCCACGCCCTCCAAGCCACACTCCACTGCGTCATGCTCTGCCGCAGCTCCCACCGCACCCTGCTCCCACTCGTGCACAACTTCCTCCTCAGCACTTGCCGGGCGTCGCTCACACCGCAGGCCACAGACTTCCAAGGCACGCAAGGCTTCAGAAACGATACAACCAAGGCATGGCATTCAATGGGGTGCATGTGTTTGTGTGTGCGTGATCTAGAGTTGGTGACGTGGGGGCTGTGGCAGGCGTTGTGTGTGTTTCCTCGTGAGGGCTTCGACATTCCCTCTGGTGGCATGGAGGGAGACAAGGACAGGCACTTCCCAAACGACCTCCCAGAGACAGCTCTCCGTAAGGCCTGCAGGGTGGGGCGACACACACCACACAGCAAGTGCAATCTCATGTTGCCTGTCTATCCGTGAATGTGCAGTCGATTGCAAGTGGTGGTCTGCTCGCATCGAGCGCATGGCCGTCATCCATCTGTGTCGCTTCATCTGCGAGTTCTGGGACGATGCCGCCGACGGACACTCTCCCCTGCACGCACACTACGACCTCGAGGGTGGGTGGGTGGGTGGAGAATGCATCATCCATGAGGAAGGAGAAAAGAACGAATCATCCTTGCATGACTGTAAGTGTGTTTGTGGTGTGGCTGCGCAGAGCTGTTGAGCATACTGCTGAAAGTGTTGGCTCGCAACTCGGCTCTTCTTTCCAGGTGCGTGCCTCGTCTCCAATTAAGAGGAGCCATCTCATCTGCTATGTAAGCTGTCTCTGGCTGTGTCGGTCGATACCATGCGTTGTTGCAGTCTGCAGAAGGCTCGTGTGCCGGCCAGGGAGAAGAAACTCGCACAGGCAAATATCGAAGGCATCAACGCACTCTTCAAAACCGGCGTAAGAGGCTGTGTGGCTCACACAGGCATCCAGTCCCATGTCCCTCTCTCTTGCTGCGGGCAGGCTGAGCAGGGCCGCAGCAAGGATCTCGCCAACGCTGTCATGTATCATGTTGTGGACGCCTGCCGCTCTGTCATCAGCCCCTCACTCATCAACGACGGCACTCTCGGTCAGTCAGTCAGTCAGTCGGGAAATTGGAGGGGGGGGCTGCCCAGGGCTTATAGTGTGTGTATGTGTGTGTTGGTGTGGACAATGATCAGACATCCGCCGTGTGCAGGTCAAGGACAGCATCAGCCCTATCCTGCCGCTCTTGTCCGACGATCTCAAGGCCCTGTTGGCGGACTGCATCGTCAACAATGGCCAGGAGGCGCTCGGTGTGTCGCTCTCCAAGAGACACGTCAAGGAGCTGCTGGATGCCGACTGACTGACTGACTCAATCACTGGCTGCGTGTGTGTGGTACCATCCATCCATTCCTTGACGCTATCTATCGCAAAGAGAGACTCGTCGTGTCCAGATCGACCACAAGGCACGTACATACCCGTACAATGAATGTGTGGTTGCGTGAGTCGAGTCGAGTCAAGACATGCACGCCACATGAATGAATGGATGGATGTATCATGGCCATGAACCCAAGAGCCAAAATCCACACGTCACCATCCATCCATCAATCGTGTACAAAGTTGTCTGCACTCAAGTCACCCCCCTTGCTGTTCTGACCCCCCCTCCCCCTCCCCCTCTCCCAGCAGCTGCAGCCGACGCAGCAGCTTGAACAATATGACAGACGCCTTGAGCTGCGCACCGCTTTTCATCCACAGCTTCAGCTTCACCGTGGCGTCTCCATCCTGTCGCCCACCACCATTGCAAGCATTCGTCGTCTGCCTTCCCTCCGCCGCCCCCTCCAATGGCCCAGCTCGAGATGGAGATGGAGACAGGCGACATGCTCTGAAAATCGGTAAGTGCTGCGGGTCACAGAGGCCCTCCCCATGTTTGGAGCCGCCGGGCTTGTTCTTCTTCTGCCGACCCGAGGCACTCTTGTTCATGGCTGCCTGGTCGTCAGGGGGGATGGAATGGGACAGGACACTAATTGCGGCCATGTCTTCGTACAGCAGCAGTCCCTCGTGGGCCGGCAGGGTTGCCTCGAAGGTGAGACAGAAGGGGTGGCTTCTCAACGGAGGCGCCGAGCCACCGTCCTCCGACGACGGCAGTCCCTCATCAGCCGACGTCCCTGTCAAGTCCAGGTGGTAATTGAGGGACTTGATAGGGCCGAAGTCGAAGAGACATCGGGTGAGGCACACCTGCGGCACGCGGAGAGTTCCGAGTGTCTTTCGGCCGCACTCCTCAGGCTGGTTCGCATTGCTTGTCTTGAGGTCAAGCGGCGGGACTCTAAAGTTCGCACCTCCACTTTTAGCACCACCATTTGCCGTCGTCTTGTCATCAACTTTGGATTCTCCCTCTCCCTTGATGGAGTCGATCACACCGCTCAGGTCAAGATGGCATGGGTGCAGGATGACCTCCACGGCAGTGAGCGTGACTTTGAAGAGCGACGGCGACGTCACGTCGCCCCAGGACGTCTCCAGCACAGCGACGACATTCACAAGCTGGATACCAGAGAGAAACCGATTTGCCACGACCTCAGGGGGGCCACCGAGCAACGACCGCGGAGACGCTTGGGTGTCTGCCGCAGAGGGAAGACATGGTTTGCAAAGGGGGATGCATGAGTCATCTGTACGCCTTACGTGTACCTGCTGATATCACAGCTGGTCCGGGGCAAGCCGTGGGTGGGGCCCGCTTGAAGGCCTTGGCTACCTGCTTGTCCTGCAGAGAGGCATGCAGGACAGGACAGACAGCACAAAAGGGGAGGAAAGAGACAGTGACTGCGGATGGACACTGTAGACAGAAGTGGGCCTGTCTTGTCTTCCTACGTACTTCAAGTAGGCATTGAATGAGCTTGGCCTCATAGGCCTCAAACGACGCCCTGTTGGTGAAGGCCTGTACGACCAAGAAAGGAGACGAAGAAAAAACAACGAGGAGGAATGAGGATTGACGGCATCACCCCGGGCCGCCTGGCTGCCTGCCTCCCGTGTGCACGGCATGTCCGCCCACCTCCTTTGGCCCTCTTGGCGTGCGCGGCGTCTGTGCGGGTGAGGAAAGGAAGATGGGCGAGTCTGCTCCTCCGCTCCTGCACGTGCATGTCGCTCCACACCCATACAGGACGATGCCCATGAGCCGCTGCATGAAGGGAAGCGGAGCCGCCTGTTGTGGCTCCACGGGCAGCTGTCGCACTGTCGGTCCACGAGGCTGCACGTGGCCTGCATCCGTCGTGACTCTGAGAGAGGGGAACGGAAGAAGGATGCACTCAGAGCAGTTGCCACGGAGTGAGCCATCGTGCCCTCACAAGGCTTACAGAACGATCTCATGGTCGTCGAATGTGAAAGCTGCTTCCGACGCGAACATCGCTGAAGACTGGGGGCCTTCTTGGCCGGCGAGGCTGCCCCTGACGCCTCTCACAGCTTACGCAGCTCACAAGTCTGATCTCCCGTACGTATCTGTCCACACCAACACGAAAGGCGCCACATGAAGGTCTGTCTGATCTCGCCCGCACTCCGGAAAAAAGACACACATAGCATAGAGCCACTCAGCCAGGTCGACACACAACACACATCCGATTGACGCGCGGCCGAAGCGCTTCCGCTGACTTGACTAACAAACAAACACACCTCCCGCACATACGAGGAAACAACACACACCACACCCACGGGACCACCGCGGCCGCAGACACACTGGCACACGTGAGGAAAAAACACACATCGAGTACGGACGGACGTATGGACACTAATAAATGCATATTCACCACCACGAGAGATCAGATCAGTCATTTATGTCACACGGAGCACGAGCATCTCATCGGCCTTGTATGTGTCGTGTCCGGCCAGGAGGGCGGAGTTGTTGTATCCCCGCACCCCGCTATAGCCATCAGGCACGTCGGGGGCCTTGATGAACTGCATCATCGAATCGAGACCAACGCTGCTCTGCAGACACACAGACAGACAGACAGACAGACAGACGGACAGGCAGGCAGGCAGCAGCAGCACACATGAGAGACGGCGTGCAGTGGATCTGTCCATTTATCTCCCCTTAATTGCGTGGAGTCAGTCATGTGTACGTACATCGGTATCGTTGTCCGGCGTCCATCCGATGCTGAGGTACTGCATGTAGGATATGACCAGGTGCGCGACGCCCCACCAAAGGGGCGCCCTAGCTGACCCACGACGTGACACAGACACGCCCTGCATGTTCACTGCACACACACACCAAAAAGCAGACACATCACATACATGACACACAGACAGACAGAAGGTCGTGTGAAGGTGCGCTCTCTATACCCACCGTCTCCGATCGGCATTCTTGTGGGCGCATCGAAGTGGCCTTCGAGTGAGAAGAAGCACATCGGACAATCGAAGGCGATGTAGTCCTGTTCGACAGGATGCTCAGCAGGCAGCCGCAAACCGCAGTCCAGGAAGCAGCCGAAAGTGTAGCGGTCTTTCCATATCACCAACACCAGACCACCTACGTCAACACGTGAATGTACGTATCGCACTGCTGGGAGTCTACAATTAATCAATTCGCCACTTACACGTACCTGCGCCGTCGACGACTTTGTCGACAAAGTCGTCGTAAGACCAGGCTTCACTAGTGCCGCTGCAGTGCACGGCACACAAACGGATGTCTGTTGTTCGATGCTTGTACGCACGTACGTGTAGAGGAGCTGCAGCGACGTGCCTTGGCCAATCCAGTCCGTCAGCACAGCCTCCTGCTCAGCTGTCAGCATGGGTGTGGGGGACGCCTGCACATACACACGCAGAGCGGACGGATCGCGAAGCCGAGGCTTCAATTGAGGAATTGATGATGGCTGTTCGATGCAGGTAGGTAGGTATGCAAGCATCGGTTGCTCGCCTACTCACTGGTGTTGGTGGTGGCTGTGTGGTGACTGACGGATCTGCATGGATACGCAAGATAATAAGCAAGACAAGACATATGATGTGCATTCTTTATTGCGCTCCCTGTACGATCGGATGGATGGCCACCCATGCACCTTAATTACCTTTCTCGACGCACTGAGGCACGCCTTTCTCAGCTCCCTCCTCGCGATGCACCTGCATATATGACACGGGCATGTGTGTAGGCAGGCGAATAGGCTTTTCACAGACACCCATAGAGTCGCACTGACTGTCGGCATGGGTGCATACCTGACAGTCATGATCCTGGGGGCATTCGTGGTCCAAACACAGACTCTCACATCGCCCAAACGAGGTGCCGTCGTGATTTACGCAGGTTTCATTCCACAGACAATACGGGGACAGGTCGTTGCAATAAAGGCCTACACACACACACGCACAAACGCAGATCCATCCCATCCACCCATGCCTCAACCTGTCTGTCGGGCGTCGGGCGTGAGGCGTGTGTTCACTACACTACGTGTGGATGTATGGCCATCCGACCTGGATCACAATCTCCTCCGTCGAACTCACACGCATAACTGTAGCACTCCAAGTCACACTCCTCGTCCTTCCAGTACCCCCTCTCACGACACACGCCATGACACGTCGACGGCATCTCAGCACCTGCAGGCATAACAAGACAGACAGGCCCGACACGGAGAACACTCATTCTTGCTGGCACCGATCGGCCCGCCAGCTAGGCACCTTACCTTTCTCGACGCACTTAGGCACGCCCTTCTCAGCTCCTTCCTCGCGATGCACCTGCATATATGACACGGGCATGAACGAATGAATGAATGAATAGATTGCTTCTCACATATACACATACACACAAAGGCTGATTGGTTGTCTGTCGGTGTGCGTACATGACACTCGTGGTTTGGCTGTGAGCATTCAGTGCCCAGACATAGGCTCTCACATCGACCGTTGACACACGTTTCGTTCCACAGGCAGTAGGGGGACACATCATTACAAGAAGCCCCCTGCAGTGCACGCACACACACCCCACGTATGGCGTGTGTTCACTACGTGTGAATGGACCATCATGGATGAAGTGAATGTGTCAAACTAGAAAAGCGAACGCATCATCGAGCGTCATACCTGTGCAGTCTCCTCCGTCGAAGCCACACGCATAGTTGTTACACTCAAAGTCACAGAGGCCATCCTTCCAGTAGTTCTCCTCACGACACACACCGTCACACGTCGACGGCATCTCTGCAACAAGCAAAGCAAAGCACAACACTTGAGCCAGCCTGCTTTGTGATGTATCTTCCGGCTAGCTTGCCATCTGCCGATTCTTCGCCTTGCCTTCGCCTGACAGTGTGCCTGAGTGATCGGCTGGCCTTTCTCCTTCCCTCGGTGTACATGCTGAGCAACGCAGCCTCCATCAACAAGAAACACGACCAGGTGGTGCCAGATCTCATGCCTATCACACTTGACTGCGCCGACTACACCCAAAACGGGGAATAGACAGCGAGATCCTAGTGTGCCGGCGCTCCCTCGGCCCCATGAGCTTAGCTCGCGAACTGCGTCCCCAGTTTCCCTTCACTCCCGCCCCGAGTCCCCCAGCAGGATGCGAAGACCTATGGTATCGGCGCTGGGCATTTGCTGAAAACATCCATCCACTGGCAGGGACTCCGAGTTGCCTGCAGGCGGCACTGCACAGGCCAACAGGTCGGGTGTGCCCAACACCTGCAGCTTTATGCAATGGGAGGATAGGATGTCTTGTCTGTTGGTGACACCCACCCATTTGCACTGCCATGCATCCACCTTATATATATTGGGGTCTGTCTGTGCACATTTGTTCGTTGTGTGTCGTGTCAGGATGGAGCACGTGGGCATCTCTTTCCCTGCTCTCTGTTTGGTCATTGCGCAGCTGCTGTGCTTTGTGCATGCGACCGCCACGGGCATCTCATCGCAGTTGGCGAGATGGCGACGACCCCAACTGCAAGGTGTTGCGTGTGGAGGCGTTCACTCTGGTGGTGCCGCACCCGGCCGAGACGAGCGGCACCGACCTCCCTTACACATGGGTCGACACCGCACTCGGCAAGGACGAATAGCTCATATTCGATGGGGAGAGCCACCCCCCGGCACTCAAGCTGAGGTCGGCCGGAGTGAACAAAAGAAAGCACCTCACTGAGCACAAAGTGTGCATGTCCTGCCTGCCCTGCAGGGGTGACAAGCATTCGGGTCAGGTCATGTGGCTGACGTTCAACCATGGCTCCTACTTCATCACCCCCAAGATAGCCGCCGGTCGCCTGTGCCCCCTCCTGCTCGAAGACCCGCAGGCCTCCTTCTCTCTCTCCTTTCACATCGCCATCGACAAACCCCCCCAGCCGGGCGATATGTACACCCTTTTCCAACACGAGAGCGGCGTCCGCTTCGGCTTCATGACCGCCTATGACCACGACGGCGACCCCGACCCCGATCAGGTGTTCATCGGCTTTTTGCCGGCCGAGGGCATCCACAAACACACACCCAGAAGGTACAAGCAGCCGGCCGAGAATGCGACGAAGGGAATTGACACAGAGGCTCTTGAAGAGGAGGACAAAAAGAGGGCGGCCAAGGAGAGTGAGTCTGGGGCCGCAGAAGGAGAGGTGTCGCTGCTGCAGCAGCTGTGGCACCAGGAACCGACCCCCACCGACGACAGCAACAACAACAACAAGACGGACGCTGAGAAGGCTGCAGAGGAAGAGCAAGCCACTGTCGAGGCCGAGGAGATCATCAAGCTGCCGCCGACGGGCTACCAGCGGCCCGAGAGCATGATCCCCATCTGCTGGCGGCAGGCAGAGGGCAACATCTACACACTGGCCGTGTCGGGGGGCACCTTCAGGCTCTACCGAATGGGTTTCCCTCTGATGGACCCCGCTCCCCTGCCGTACCTCACTGCCGACCTGCTGTCCCGGGCCGCCCCCATCACACTGGGGTGCGACATGCACGGCAGAAACTGCTTCAAGGGTCGGTGGGTCACGCGAGAAGAAATCGGATTCGAATCCCCTCCCTGATCGCATTCATGTTTGTGGTGGGAAGTTTGGTGGCCTGGCCGCTGTGGGGTGTGTGTGTGGTTACTTCAGGCAGCATGCGGATGTTTCATTACAGCAACATCGGCAACACTACAGCAGAATCAAATGAAGATGCCGTCGTCAACTTCTTCGATCTGCTCGGTCGGTCGGCGCTGCCCTGTGTGGCACCACAAGGAAGCAGGACAACGGCAGGCGTATACAGAACACAGACATTTGGTGTGTGTGTGTGTGTGCGTGAATGCACTGCAGCCTTGTCTCATCGTTGCGGCAATGGTCAAGTGGACAACGGTGTGGAGGAGTGTGACGTACAGGCGGACCCTGACGGGTGCTCGTGCAGCTGCAGAAGTGTGTAGCAATGCATCCACACACACACACACACACACACATCTGATCTGTCCATTTGCTGTCCTCCCGTCCTGTGTGTGCAGTGAAGTGCCCCCCCTACTTTGGCCTGTTGCAGCAGCAAAATGTCGAGAAGCGGTGGCTGGCCTCCCTGCCAGACATCGTTGGGGCGCCCATCTCTGAAAAGTACCTGCACCGCGGCTTCGACCACAACAACAGGGTGTCACTGTACTGCAAGAACGAGCGGACCCTGAACATCCAGGGCACACCAGGGCCCGACATAGTGACCTACCACGGCGACCTCCCCAATGGGATGGACATGGTCCTGTGCGGCCACCAGCGCTCGGGCAACTGGACCCCACCCACCATGGACTGCTGGCGTAAGCAAGCAGAAATTGATGTGATGGCTGCAAGTCACTCGTCTGTCTTGATGCATCTCTACGTGTGTGGCTGTCTCATTCACTCATTCGGCAGAGGATTGCGATCCGACACAGGAGTCATGGTGGAATGACACCAATGTTGCGGGCGGCAGCAAGCTGCATCTGGTGGTGCCCCCGCGGCCCACGCGCATCCGGTCTGGCGAAATCATTCGGATGGAGTGCGCCCCCCACAACCCGGTTCCCAAGGGCATGGACACGTACGAGGTGCTCTTCTGCAACGACGGATTCATCGACCCACTCGGCCTGCCTTGCAAAAGTAAGTCAAGTCAGTGTATAACACACAGAAGACACAAAGCGACACACACAAGTACACTGCCGGCCGACCGATACGTTGTCTGTCTGCCACATAGGCACGTGCCCGCGAGACATCCTGATGCCGCCCTTCTACAAGCGTCCAGTGCTCGAGCGCAAGTATGTGGTTGAGGGTGAGGGCTACCAGGACCGGGCCAGGCGCATTGTGACGTGCAAGGACGGCTACGCTGCCGCCAAGGGCTCGCCATTCGAGAAGGGCGTGCAGGAGAGCGAGTGCATCGACGCAACTGGCAGAAGCTCCTGCTCGAATGCAGAGGTACCTCGACACCGCGGGGACGGACCCCTGTACGTATGTGATGTGCGTGCAGGTATGTGTCCGCCGTTCCACATTCCCAGCGCGATAGCCCACCGGTATGTGACGGAGCCCCCGATGGGCCAGGAGGACCGGCGCTCGGGGGCCACCGTCACAGTCAGCTGTCTGGAGCCATTCAAGGTGCCCGAGGGGCAGTGGGAGCCCCAGACCGTCAGATGCACATGCTACGGCACACCAGAGGAATGCGAAGACAATGACGAGCTCTGGCAGTGGTCAGGTCAGTCAGTGGATGACATGACATGACGGAACGAATCTACGTCTGTGTTGTGTGTCTCCACTCCATGTGTTGGTGTGGTCATGCCATGCCATCTTACAGACTTTTTGCTCGAGTGTGCGGGGAAGTGCCCGCCCTACAAGCCCGCCGAGGCGGGCTACCAAGTGCAGTACTTCAACGTGCCCGAGAACGTGTACGAGGTGACGAGCGTTGACTTCAACGAGCAGATAGGCCTGTCGTGTGACGTCTCCAAGGGGTACGGGCCGCACGTCAAGGCCGACAGGCAGGCAGGCAGAGATGCTCAAGTGCCTCGGAGACAAGTACACCATCAAGGGACTCGTCTGCTACAGTCAGACACACACACACCGCTACACACACCGCTACACACACCGGCCACTCACGTCACGTTTGGTGTATGTATCTGGTCTGGCAGGGCTGTGTTACCACCCGCCGGACATTCCTCCCGAGGGTTTCACAGTAGAGGTTCAGGGCGACCTGCAGGCGCCCTATCGGCACGGCAGCGAGCGGATCCTCACGTGCACCCAGGGGTACTCCGTGGAGGACGAGTCCAACATGCCCGCCAAAGACACTCTCCTCTGCAGCAACGGCATGTGGACAGAACGACAGCTCTCATGCAGAGGTAGGGACTCGGGGGGGGGGGGGGGG